TTTTTTTTTTTTTTTTTTTTTGTAAATCTACTTAAATGAACAGACTGTCAATGCATCAAAGAATATCTTAAAACTAAAAGTAAAAGAAAGAAAAACAGAGTTAATTATCACTCTGCTAATAAAATACATTAACGAAAATGTCTGAAATTGCAAAACAAAATTCTTTAGCGCTCTTATTCTTCTCAAAAGATATTTCAACGTGAAAATAAAACAAGGAAACAGGCGTGATTACTTCATCTCTCGAAATTTGTTAACAGAATTGTGCCGAAAAAAAGATCAAAAAAACGCAGTAACGTTAATTATCGAACCGCTAACGTACAGTGGCTCCAAAAAGTATCTGTATGCTTAATGAAAAAATTATTGTTATTTTAAGCTGCTATAAGTTTGTAAAAAAAAATCGAAGAGAAATCTCAGAAAAGCTGGACTTCTACCTCCGCGACATTGAATTCGTTTTCCTCCTAAAATTATATTTCTACTCGCATGATTTTGAAAGGGGATAAAAATAAAGGTCCTACTTCTCTTGGAAATTTTGCAAAATTAAACTGGGCTTTAATAAGCGATGAAAACTGAAATTTTTCATCACTAAATTTATCATAATCTTAAAGATTGAAGTTGTCTTCCCTCTACAACGATCCCTACGAATTTCTTTTCACAAAATTGTAAGACTTCAAAGTGTCGACAACTTTTCGATCGAGTCGTTGTACGAAAACTAAAATGATGGTAATTGGCGAATTAAATGCTCGAAAACGTCACTCTCAGAAATATCTCTAGGAGCCTCTAGGACAGAGAAATCCTCGGGTTAAACGTCCCTTGCGCGCCATTAATTTATTTACCGTTGGCCGCGTTGAAAATTCGCGGGTTTTGCTCGGTCGAATGATGCTTGATCCACGTGGGCAGACAAGCCGAAGCGCGCGATTTTCCGTGGTTGGCACGACAGATAACGCGACAGATAAGAAGCAAGCAGCGAGCACGCGCGCTCACATCCGCTTGTTCGTGTTCGCGTATTTTTGTCTTATTCAGTCGATCGGGAACAACCGGAGAAAAATCAAATAAACTGGTTTACGCCGGCTTAGACCGGATGCGACAGCTTAGTTAACAACTAACGTGCGACGGTTTATTGTTACATCGACCGTGGCCTAAAAATCGGTTTTTCCCCAGCGCCGTTCGATCGTCCAGCAAAATTGAAAGCCGATATCGTCGCCGCTTCGTTTTCGTTGATCTCTCGCGATCTGCCTGGCACGGTTCCATGGCATTTTATCCACCGTGTTCGTGTTCCGACCGGATGAAAAACACGAAAGACAGAAATGATAATGGATCAAATGTAGAATCGGCTTTTTGCAATTGTTAGATTCGGTCATTTAATTTCCGTAGAATCAAAACTCAATTGCGTATTTCGAGATCTTTTCAGAAACTAGCGTTGATTGCTTGGATTCCCAGGGGAACGGAGCTCGTAGAACAACGTGAAAGGAATTAAATGCGACGATTCGAGAATTGAAAGAAACGAAAGTGATAATTTTGGCTTTCAGAAGAATGGCTTGGATGATATGACGAATCTGAAGATCATCGAACAGCTGTGTAGAACAATGAACGCCAGTTATGAAGACTAAGTGTCGCAGATGGAAAATGCATAGTAAATTTCAGAATTTTTTCCTCAACCGATTTTGTGCTCACGCCTTTCTCGATATGTAATGCTACTGCTTTCAATTGGATAGCTGTAACCTATATGTTCCGATTGCATCGTCGATGTCGACACACTATTGCATTCGAAACTGATCCATGGATCCATGGATCTCGTAACTGAAGAACGAATCCAATACGAAAAATGGCAGAAACTATTAAATGTCTTAAAATGCGAATGCGAAATTACGAATAATAACTTCCTACTCACGACGTAAATTATTCCTAACGATTTCTAATAATAGTCAAGAAACGAG